GTTGCTGATTATCAATATGAAATTCGCATACCGTAAGGCTTTTTCTCAAGTTAAGTCAAGTAAAGCGCAACGACGTTTTTTTCAGTGTTTTTCAAAATGTGATTGGACCATTGAGAACTGATAAAAATTCATAGACAGTTGTCTGATGAAGCCAGCGTGTTTGAAAACGCTGCTACACTTTTCAGATTTTTTGGCTTTTTGTCCAAACAGCCTATTCCACAGTGACGCTGTATGCTGGAAGTTCTTAGCGAATCCTACAGAAAAGAAGGACGATGGTGATTTGCACCATACGCTCCATGCTGTAAATCTAAGTTGAAGCCTCCTGTACTGGATAGTGCTTGAAGCTAAGAAAAAGACCCAGTGGGGAGAGAGCTATCAACATCAAAAATTGTGTACTTACTTCTGGGACACTCTGTACATATTCTTCAAATGGGATAATAACTTTGCCTTTTCAGTGAGCAGCTGGACTGGCTTGAAAAGAACATCGTTGTCGACGAAAAAACGCGAACTAAACGCCAGGTTGCCGGTGCCGCAGCACTCTGGACCGACAAACGAGTATACTACCACTATGACGCTACTATAGGTGTAGTATATAGTTCTTCTTTAATTTTTGCTATCTCATGCACTTTTTTTTCAGGTGCTCGGAAGAAGAGTATAGCGCAGCAATCTTTCAACTATCTTCAAGCCCGCACTTGTGTTACATTTGTTGAAAATGCAACTGCCCCGAATCGTGTGCGTGTGTTCAATGGTGACGGATGTTGGTCAAGTATTGGTATGGTAGGGGGAGTGCAGAACTTATCGCTAGGAAGTGGTTGTGATGAGGTAAACAGTTTTTCTTCCATTGATTATGTCAACATTTTAGAGTTTTCAGATCGGAATTGTAGCACATGAATTTGCTCATACTTTGGGATCTTTCCATACGCAAATGAGAAGTGATCGTGATAATTACGTAACAGTTGATTTGACAAATGTACCGGTAAGTGTGTTTCAGATCTTTGTTCAAGCTAAAGCTGCAAAGCTTTCGCTGACAGCAGCTGCAGACTCGTAAATGATAGGTAGCCTCCGGATCAAGACCAGTCAGTTAAAGGCATTGTGCAGGTCAACCTGGGTATTGGGATCTTGACACAGTGTGAGGGCATAGCTTCTGACTAACGCAACAGTTCAAGTGCGATCGAAAAAAGTGGAATCTGAAGCGAGAAATTCGCTTCGGACGAGTTTGCTAAAAAGGGGGCGGTACTCCAATCCCGCCCCCCTTGGCAAGTTTTGACATGGCCAATACACTAGATCTTGAGCATTCGCCACGTCAAAAC